TGGACCGATAATGTCAGCTTTACTGATTCCCATTCTTTGCAAAGTGCTTAGAAATATGAGATCTACCGAGCTTCCAGTATCAATTAGACACCTTGTCACTTCGAAGTTCGCAACATCTAAAGTTATCACAATAGCATCATCATGAGGCCCAGCTAATCCTTGAGTGTCCGAATCGTCAAAGGAGATAGAAGGTATTTGTTCATTTGATTGGAAACCCACAGCGGTTTGAATTGCTGCTGATTTTTTGTGCCTTTTAATCGATCTGATCGAATCTCGGCATAATTTGGATCCTCCCATTATAACATTGATCCTTTTCTTAGGAGTGTTCGGAGTTCCGGGCCCATTGGGCTTGTGTTTCTTTTCAGGAAGATTAGAAGCTTCGGAATCTTCTTTTTCTTTGTGGTAAGACTCCACAAATTCCTCGATATTGAAATTAGCGAGCTCTCCAGCTGCCACAGTTCGGTGAGGTGCTTTTTGAGTACGCTGCAATCTTTGGTGGAGTGCCCGTTTACTTTATGAATATCGCAATAGGCACTTTCATCTCTAACCCAAGTATTAGGAGGATTGTATCTTCCTCTGCTTGGGGAGGGTTTTTCTACAGCATTAGTAGCAGGATTAACTCCGAACCGTTTTTGATCTTTTGGTTCGAACTTTTTAGTCGGATTCGCAACGACTAATTTAGCTGGTCAATGCTTTTCAGCGAGGCTGAGCTTTTGTTCTTCTGCCTCCATCCAATTAGTAGCTCTGAATAAAGGATCTTGGATGGTACTTGGACGATTGACGATGATTTCTTCTCGAAATCGAGATTCATGCCAGAGTCCGTTCCTTAAAGCAGAAAGGGCAGCAGCGTGCGATACCCCAGGAATTTTGGCTATCACTTCTTTGAATTTAGCGATATATTTGCGAAGTGGTTCATTCTGACCTTGGGTTAAATTCCAAAGATCCGAATCAGAAGTTGACTTTTCCATGAACATGGAGTATTGTTTTAGGAATGCAGAGGACAATTCCTTAAAACTATCAATAGTTTCTGGTTCTGACTGGGTGAACCATAACAGAGCCGGACCGGAGAGATTCTCGGAAAATAGTATGCAAAATCCGGCATCTTCCTCGCCTGGTTCTAGATCAATTCTGCCTGCGGCGATCTGAAAAGCAGCTAGGTGATTTTTAGGATCTCCTTTACCGTCATAAGTTGGTAACTTAACCTTTCGAGAATCTTTGATCCGAAGGTTCGAGATTCTCGAGGTAAAGGGTGTTCGACGAGTTTCTTCGATTACTCGATCGATCTCAGGCGCCGAACTGGTCGCCTGATGAAATTTCGACTTCATCTCATTAAGCTCTTGACAAACTTTGATGAAATCATCTGATAGGATGACATCAGGATCGTCCATAAGGAGTCCGCCATCAATAGGAAGATTTCCCTGACCCTGGGAAATTTCTTCCTCGGTTGGGTTAGTCCCTCCTCCTGCGGCTGCCGGATTGCTAGTACTAGCTGGCTGGCCTGTTAGAGGAGTTCGAGTAATCCCAGGTGTCGCGAATAATCTGCGCTGATGCGTTGATGTTCGCGTTGAGGACAAATTATCTAAATGGCGTTCTGTGCGTTTGATAAATTTGTCTGGGTGGTTTGAACACTCGTTAAGGTTTGCTCGATTGAGTTTAACCTTTCACCAAAAGTGGTGTTGGCAGTAACAAGTGTACCCATCTGATTGGTTAGATCGGTGGTTGTCTGAGTAAGCAAGGCAATTGCATCGCTCAATGCTTGCTGATCAGCCATAATTTCTTGGTTGGGAAAGAAGGATTTTGAGATTAAAGAGTTTTGCGGTAACTCCCCACAGACGGCGCCAAAATGTGGATGTAGGATTCACACTCGATTGTCTTTAAGTATTTCAGTGGAGAAAAACTCTTGTAAAATCAGGAAATGAATATGAGAATTCGAAAAGAAAATCAACCAAGAAAAGAAGTAAAGAAGTTTGACAAAAACGAAGTACAAAATGCCTTGCGAAAGTTGTAAAGAGAGAAAAATATATTGTATTTCTTAGAAGTAATGAGTAATGAGATTCGTCCCCTCAAACACATGCGTTTGAGGTTGTTTTTATAGAGAAAACATGATCAATGCGGTCATTTACTGCTCATAATCGCATTGATCCGCATTAATCATGTAAGTTACATTTTGACCGAAACGGCTTGAATTTGAACTATCTTGGGTTTCGCGTGGATCTTCCGAACTCTTTCTTGTTGACTCCGAACTCCCGCGTCTTGATGCTACTGCGAGCCTCGAACAATATTCTCCTCGCTTCGGCCTTTCTCTATGCAAACTGTATGTTGAATAAGAGCGAACTCCATACTGGTAAAGGTCGAACTCTTTCAATAAACCGAATCGAACTCTCGACTGGTTAAGCTTGATTCTCATAATAAAATATCTTTAATTCCAAGAGGATTATTATGTAATAATGACGTGGACAGATCCAAGTGGATCCTACCAAAAATGTGTGGGATCCGACCCCAACAGGTATCATCCTAGTGAATTGCCTGCAAACTTCGTAAATTTGCACATCACTATAGCAGGAGCAGATGCTATCATACATTTTGATCTTCCGCATCCTTAAATTAAGCTCCACAACTACCCAATGATCTTTCCCAATGTTATGAGTAAGGTACAAAATATCTATATCCTTTACCCACTTTTGGTATGTCTTTCCATTAGGTGGAGATTCCCCATTATACAGATTGGACTCGGTATCAAACTTGATGTAATCTAGTGCCCACTGATTCACAAACCAGGGATCAAGGAATGCAATCCTATCAGTCAAAAATGGAGATACAATTTGCATTGACCTTTTCCGGAGCATTTGCATGATTGGAGCCAATTGCTGTGACATCAACAAGAATGAAACACATTGCTTGTGGTAAAATTATAGTCTTAAACACTAACATGTCTTACTTGTTAAAACAATACATTCACTTACCACATCTGTTAGCCATCCGTATTCAGGTTCTCCTTTAGGCCATTGCTCTTTTGGATTCTTGATCTTCAAGTAGAACATGGTAGATGAATTCGTGTAATCCAAAGGGTTATCCTTACATATAATAAAACAGTTAGACTCACCTAGTAAAGATTTACGAGTTCAAAAGTAAGGTATATAAATGAGATTGGAACTTACAGATCATGGTCAATGAATGATTCTAACTTATCCATCTTTTCAGGAGTGACCAGTTCAAAAGGATCATAAGCTGCAGGAGAAAGAATTTTATCTCGCACAATCCGCTTAACTATTGAACTCCAAACGTATGGGTCCAGCTGGGTAGAAGCAAGGTGTCTAGGCCGACATGGACGGGGAACATAATCTTCTTTAGAACACAAGACTAACAACTTGTCTAGTGTGGCTGTTAACTTATTCTCTTTTTCTTTCTCTTCAGGATCAGACCACTCTAAATCCAAATCTGGTTCTGGTTTTTTCTTCTCAGATAAAAGAGTCAACTTTGTGTTTTTATGTGATGGTGGTTCCTTTTTTATGCATCTGTCAAGGGAAAAAGTCTTCTGATTATGCAACATAGACTTACTCATTACTCACGCTGAAGATCATGTATCTCTTCTATCCCAATCAGCTATTTTCGCCTCAGAGAAGGGCTTGAATTGTTTAGCAGGAGATGACGTTTCAATGTTCAGATTATGCATTACAGAGTCACTCATTAACCCACCTTTTGGATCCTTTACCAAAGGTGACATGCTCCCTGAAACTTCCTCCAAAAACAACTTCTTGGATGTCTTCGTTGGGTCAACACATTCTGTTGTCTTTGTTTTCTTTGAACCTGCTTTTCTTTTTCCCTTTCCCTTTTCCTTCCTGAAGACTACGGAAATGGGAAAACCTTCTTGAGAAGTCTGCTTCTCCTGCTTATGCCATGACTAAATAAACATAGTTCAATAATCTAGAAAAATATATAATGAGATTAAACAAACATAACCATTACAATTGCTAACATTTAAGTCTCTATTAACCACCCAATATGTTTTACAAGTTCACTTTTAAAAACAATGAGTTCAGGATTCAAAAATCAGAAGTAAATAAAGAGACATAAACTTGACCATTAGAAATGCTAACATTTAAGTCTCCATTAACCACCCAATTATGTTTTACTAGTTAACTTTTAAAACCAATGAGTTCAGGATTCAAGAATCATAAGTAAATAAAGATACACAAGCTTGAAAAATGTGACTCCCAAAGCAACTAACTTGCGGTTTTCTGCATACATACAGACTTTTTGTGAAAATTTTGAATTATATTTACCTCATATACTTCCTAATTAAATAGAGGACTGGGTCCGGACCCGCACATACGTGCGGGGTTTTATATTATAAGATTTTTGTTATCTAACATATATAATCAACACATTTGTGTTTATTTAGTATGTAATTTAATGGTTTATATTTTTTTGTTTTGTTAATTAGTTAATAGAATAGATACAATTCAATTAGAAACTTGATTTGAGAATTTTTTTAGTGTTTTAAATAGAATTTGGTACAATAGTTTTTTTTGTTTGATTGGTTTTAAAGTTTGAATAGAAATATAAGTAATAATTTAATAGTTTTGATTTAGTGAAAGATTGGACTGGTTTGTTTGGTTTTGTTGAAATATATGTAAATTTGTATTATCGGTGTGTAATATTTGTAAAATTGAATATTGAGTAATTAAAATAATAGATTATTTTTTAAAAAAATATAATATAATTTGTTTGGTGCATAAAAATTTAAGTTTGAAACTTGATGCAATATTAGTTAGTATATATAGATGATTGACCCAAATTAAAAAATATAGGCCCATGACTCAAACAGGAGTAAAATATATTTGGGCCGCCGAAATTATTATAGACCCATTATGCAAGGCCATGTTTCGTTTTTTTTTTATTTCATTAAATTTTTTACTTTTGTTTTTTTTTTCTTTGGACAGCTAAATATCCAACACGACATTTTTTGAATTTTTGTCTTTTCGGTGGAAAATAAGAAACCCTATGTTCTTAAAAGCTTAATGTTTGATCTAAGAATCGATGAGAAAATTGTTCGATCATCAACCTATTACGTCTGCGTTTAGTATCTTTCCATCTCAAAATTGGAATTCTTCATAGAGGTAATCTTTTTATTTATTCAGATTTAGAAAGAAATTTTGTCTAAATTTGTCGATTCGATTTACAATTTTAGAAATTTCCAATTTAAACAGAGATATTGGGTAATAACTTTGATGAACCCGGACTTACATGAGTAAAGATTGCCAATTATAGTCTGAAATTTTGATTTCAAAATCTTTTATAAAGAAATCGCAAATTGATTTGCAGTTTTTTTTTTTTTTTTTTTTGTGTTTACCAAGTAAATCAATCTATCTTGTTAGATCTGCAAAGCCATATAGTTTATAGTTTTTATAATTTCATTGTATAAAGATTTTAACAAAAGATTTTGTTTCCTTAAAAGTTTTAACATTTAACTTGTTTCTAAATGGATTTCAGATTATTACAAAGATGATGTTGCCAATAGAAGACGATTTACAAAGATAAGTTCTCTGCTACGATTATTATATAACAAAAGATGTTTTAAATATATATGGTGCTAATGATAGATAATTCAATGTTTACAGACCATGCAACATCTTTGGAATCACGCAAATTTGATGTCGTTTAAAACCAGTCCAGATTCTGAAAGCACTGTTAAAGGTTAGTGAGGTGATAATGATTCAACTTTGGTGTAATCTATTTCCAATATTTAGCCATTGTTAGTTGTTTCTCTTTCTGAATTAGTATACTTGTTATGAAAAACATTGTATTCTCACTGTATGTTCTCAGTTTTGTTCAATGTATACAATCCAAGCATCAGTTCTCGTAAAATTTTTATGGATGAGGCAGAATTGATATTGCCTTCATATGAATTCTGAAACATAAAAGCATCGGTAAAGGTTAGTCATTTGATAACTTTAAGATCTCTCTTTAGTCCATAGAAATTTAAGAGCCTGTTATCTCTTTTTGAACTCTTGATCTTGTTATAAAATGATTTTGATTGATGTAGATCCACAGTTAAATCTACACTTATCGTGATGTGTCAATCGTTTTTCTAAAATGATTTTACTATATTCTCTGTTGGCATGTATGTTAAATTCTGCAATTGGTTGATAAGATATTAAAGTAATACTACTTCTTTATATGAATTAACTGAATATTTAGATTCTGTATATGATTTTTGAATTACTAAACTTGTAATAGTTTACTCATAAGTACTTAATATGATGTAAATCTAACAGAAAACTTTTGAAAAAACAAAGTTATGCTGTTATTAATAATAGATGTTTGTGAATTTGTGTAAAAAGAGAATTGAGAGAATAATAGACTAAGTTTGGTAAAATAGTCTCTTCAATGGAAGACGTAGCTTGAAGAGATTAGTACCAAATTTCCATTTCCATAACTGCTTCTACCTGTTCAGACAACCAATGAGAAATTAGTACTCATGTTAAAAAATAACTCATGTTAAACATAAATTGACATTGATGTATCTATGAATCACGATTATTTGTATATAAGAATGATATCTATACTTACAGATGTATCAGCAAGAATCATTTCCACTGTTTCTCCTGTGTATTGAGTGTATTGAGTCCACAAATGGAAATTTTAACTTGGATTCTCCATTCTGTTTTGAAAGGCTTGACGTCAGCAAGAGCAGTGAATGCTACTGGTGCTGCCATTTTCTTAGAAGGGTCATGAGGAGAAGAAAGCTTTTAAAAGGTGTGTGAGTATTTTCTATTCCTAAGTTTACTATATTTATAGTAGACTCAAGCTTTATGTATATTGTTAGGGTTTAGTGATTCTCAGAATAATAACAGATTTTCGAAAAGCATTTTTTAGGAATATGCCTGATTTGTTTATATATGATTCTATATTTAAAAGATTTTGTTTAACAAATTATTAGCTAAATGAAGATTTGAAAAGATAGAATTTTTTCCAACTGTTTTGATATGAATCGAATTAATTGTTTTCATTTATATGGAAAGATTTTTTAAGCAATCGAATATTATTTAATGACATTTTAATTGCTAACATCCCGTAGATTGTGTGTAGATAAGAAATTATATGGAGTTGTTCGGATTTGAAAAAGTTTTCTATCTTTGATTTTACATATAAAGCTCGCAAGTATATATTGATTTTATTAGTTTTGGTATTGACTGATAAATTAAATCGAATTATATTGGAATAAGTTTACCCTTAATCAACGGAATATTTGGGATTTGGTTTGTTATATAGAATAAATGATTATGCGAATTTTAAGTTGTGCTTGATATGGAAATAGTTGAGATTACGTCTTATCTAATTAATTTTCTGTTTAATGTCTATAGATATCGATCATAAGGCCTGATAGTAATAGTGGGCCAATAAACAGAAAGCCCATTATGCTTTAAATGCTAGGATCCGTGCGTATTACCGACTATTGGCCCGTGATCCGCGTGATTAACCAGATGGATATCCGAATAAATATCCAAGATCCGCGTCCTTCTAAATGCCAAATGTCAAATATACCCCTCAACGAAATTGTCTGTTTTCACGTGAAATCCTAAAATTGTAATGACTTCAATTGTAATTCTTTACCCCTTATTGAGGTTAGTTATTCAAAAATGCTTCCCAATTAATAATATAGATGTACACATCATACCTCATCGTTGGTTCCTGTCCCTTCTTCTGAACCATTTGCAGAATCTTCATTGATTTCATCATTCTTCTCTCCTGCCTTCTTCCTCAGCTTCTCCACATCACCCTGTAGATCTGTCACACTCCTCTTCAGCCCTTCGCATTTTTGGTCTACTTTCTGATGCCCAGCCACTAAATTGGTGTTCAATGTTTTCATTTCTTCAGACAAACTGCCTATCATCTTAAAAAGTCTTTCCATTCCTTGTTCCTCCAGAACCTCTTCCCCACTATCATCACTCACATCTCTTAATTGCTTCCCATTATTAGATTTCTTCTTTATACGTTTCTCTGTCTCTGCTTTTCTCTTCGTAGGTGGGTCAACAAAATCATCCTCACTGTCCACTTCCTTCTTCTTCTTTCCAGTCTTCTTCCCAATCTCCGGATCACCAGCAAAACCACTTTCTTTTAAACCATCATTAATAATATCATGCAGGAGATTATCCACCAGCTTATTATCACCTACACCTTTCCCATACACAACATTCTCTCCAGGCCAAACAGGATAAATTTCTGCCATAGGCCTCACCACTAAATGCTGCAACTTGATCTACATAAGGAGGACATCAATAAGCTATTTTAGTGTTATAACTACATACCTTCTTCTTTCTCAGTTTCTCTGTAGCAAATAAACTATTTATACAGATTCTTGGACAACCACCATTCCATTGCAAGAGAAGTACTGGTTCTGGTTCATCTTCATCTTCATTGCCATCACCATCATCTGGTACTTTGTTCCCATATGATTTAGAGTTTCGGATTTAGTTCTTAATTTTTGAGAACCAGTAAAAACCTGGAATTTTTCAATTCCAGCCGGTTCTTGTTCGGTTCGAATAATGAACCCAAAAACAAATGTACCCGAAATCACTAATAATCTACGCAAAATTTCGAAAATATACCCCAAACATGAGATTAACTAAAAAAAATACCCGAAAGGTCCAGCCTATTAATACCATTTAGCAAACAGAATCCTTTTTATGATAAAGGCCCATACCCATTTAGCTAACTGAAGAGGGAAGAAGAAAGCGGAGACGTCGAATCAACATTCAAATGAAAGTTTGACTATTGTAGTCTCTCCCTCACCTTGATATAGGTGTGCTCAGACATTTATTTTCAAAGATTTATGCTTGAAATATGTGTTCTTAAGAAGAAGAAGAAGATCTGTGTTCTTATCTTTGCAAAGAATTTTTTTTTATTTCCCTCTAGTAAGATTTATTTTCTCTTTCTCCCCAGTTTCGTTTCTCTAGTTTCGTTTCTCTTTTCACTTTCTCTAAAAAATGGGTACTGCTGTATTTAGCTGGAGGGTGAGCCGCTATTACGCTCTTCTGCTCTTGCATAACAGTGATGATGATCACAGTTGTGTGAGGTCTGCTGCTTCTTGGGATGAAAACCAACAGGTTTACGGTGGAAGAAACGAGGTTACAAGAGGTTATTCTTTATGTTTTTTTAAAAATGGTCGGATTGCTGTTATGGTTCATCCATATGCTCTATCGCGGATTTCTGGGATAGAAAGTCTTTGTTTGACTTTACAACGGTATATAGTTTTTCTTTCTTCAAAATTTTTAAGGTTTTTTTTCCTTGTCTTAGATCGATTGTTTGTGTGTAGAGAACTGTGTGTACATTTTCTTGTTCTAGTAACTTTGGATGTTAGGCGTAGAGGTTTCTTTGATAGAAACAAATAAGTGCAGGAAAAGGCTCAAGATTTTTGGAGACAGATTTAGTAGCTTCATTAGTTGTAGTTTCCGAGTACAAATATGTGCTTCTGTTAATCTGTTGGAAATTTGGTTGTATGGTTGACGTTGCAGGTGTTTGTAAGGATTAGAGCTTTGTTTTAGAATTTCGCAAGATGTGGAATACTGTCAAATGCCCATATATTTAGGACATGCGGACAACCATGGATAGCATACTGAGTTCTATCATACTTCCAAACTTTTATTGACTCAATAAGCTCCTTAAATGCAACTCGTCCCCATGGAAATCTCTCAAATGCCTATGTGTCAAGCACCCTCTTTGCATAGTCCAAAGGTATCCTACTTGATATCCCCAATATACCTACATGCACCATGAACAACAGACCAAGCATCTTCCCCTTTTCTAAACTCAGACTCCTACAACTATTAAATGCTGACTTCAACTCATTCCAGTTTGGCTCCTTCTCTGCAGCCACCTTTAAATCTCCCCAAAACTCTCCGTGGTCAACCGCCACTATGTCCTCTAAATTAATTTTCTCACAATTTAGACCAGTTATGTCTTCATATTTGTGAAGATAAAACCTTATTGGACTCCCTTCAATGAGACACCAAATCTCATATGGCCTACTGATTGCCAATTGATGAGTTAACAGGTGATGAACAAGCTTTGTCCACCATACAAAAGAACTGTTAGCAAGCTTCAACAATACTCCCACTTTAGACTGATCACGTATCTAAGAGTAAGCATCTTCTCCAATCTTCTCTTTCAATCTTGCTAAACTCTCCAAGGTGCAGTTAATATTCATGATCCATCCCTTCATTGGTGCTTTCCCTGCTGCATAAAGTCTTTTGGGATAACTCTTCTTCGCAATTACTGCACAAAGTACAACTTCATTATGTCTCTCTTTTGTAACTCTACTACATATACTTACAAAGAAACTCTATCCTATATTTCTATCATTAGATAATCAACCCCGTCAAATTCAAATACATAATTTGTTACCTTCTTCTCCCATTTCTTCACTCGCTTGATCAACTAATTTATCCACCTCGTTATCCCAGCGGAACATAAATCACAAAACAGAACAATTAGGTTTCAAATTATTCCAACAGCTAGCTATTTCAAATCCCTCAAAGCTTAATATAAGGGTTTACTAAGAGATTCTTACCACATTTGCCGTCAATCGCAGCCGTTTCTTAGCCGTAACCTCGCCGTCGATTCTTCACCGTAACATCGCCGTCGCAAATTCTACACAGATTTGTATGTAAAAAAATATTGATTTCTACTTTAAAATCATAGTAGAGTTTGTACTTTTGCTAAAATAATAGCAGAACAACTCAAACTCATTAATTGAAACACAAACGGATATCTTACCTGAATTTCTCCATATCGCCCGACCGTTGTTCTCGACACACATCCAAACACAAACACTCTTCTCCACTTTCTCACTGTTCTTAATTACTCTCGTTTAACGGTTCTTTTTTTTTTAATTCTAAATGGCAAACATGTAAATAAAATAGTTAGAGAGGCTTAAAAGACTTTTGGCAACGTTTAAGTGTTATTTGAGTAAGACCCTCCTCGATGGGTGTTATCTTAGTAATTAACTCACTTTTAAGTGTTATTTGAGTACAACTGAAGTTTTTCATTCAGCTTTCCAATGGTGACCCATCAGCTTTTTTTTAAAGCATTTATTTATTATTACTAGAATTATATAGTCATTTACTAATTTCTAGCATCTTTTTACCATTGTAGACTGTTAGGTTTATGATACTCGATTTGAAATTCGAACACAGATTCAATGAGAAAGAAATTTCGATTGATTTACAATCGTTCTCTTACACACAAGCTTATGATACAGAGTAATCAACATAGACCACTCCGCTGGAACATCTCCAGTAATTCCCACTCTCTCTCTAGAATACGATAAAATGCAAAAGCAAAGGAGAAGAGCTCAACGACTCTTTTATAATCTCGAGATGAGTCGTAACAAGAAAAAATCTATCTCAAACGAAGTCTTTTCTTTTATTCTTTCGCATCGAAGCCTCTCTTTTCTCCAGATGTTTCCACGTCATCACTTCTTTCCTTCTCTTTCTGCTGACTTGGATCCTTCTTCTTCCTAAAGTAGGCCTAATGGATCAAATCAATACTTCCGTCGGGGAAATGCAGCTTGTCCTCAAGCTTAAACTGAGGAAAAGCTTGGACAAAATTTGTAGACCGCACCCACGAATCGTCGGAAACCGAAAGATCTTGCCAATGAACTATAAACTCTCAACCCCTTGTTACATTAAATTGAACTCCCAAGATTTTCTCCGGATACAAAAATGTATCTTCGACAAAATCCGGTGGGTCAAAAACAGGAATCTAAGAGTAATCGCCAATGACTGCTTTCAGCTGCGAGACATGAAACCCGTTAGGAATCTTGGTATCATCAGGCAGCCGTAAGCGATAAGCAACAGCTCCAGTGAGTTCCAAAACCCAAAAAGGACCAAAGAACTTGGCTGTCAATTATGACAGGTATGATGAGAAACTAAGAGTTGACGATACGGTTGGAGTTTCAGATAAACTTAGTCATCAACCTAAACAACCACCTCCCTGCATTTCTTATCCGCATTCTTCTTCATAATGTCCTGAGCTCGTTGTAAGTTAGCTCGAATATGGGATAAAATCAGATCTCTTTTATCAATTTAACCTCCAAGTCCCAATTATTAGTGGACCCTGCTTCAAAAGACACAACCTAGGGAGCAGCTCTACCATAAACCATCTTGAATGGAGTAGTCTTGATGGCTGAATGGTACGAGGTGTTATAATAAAACTCATTCTAGGGTAAATACTTAGCCCATGTCTTCGGATGGCTATCGGCAAAGAAGCGCAAACACGTCTCTAAATAGCGGTTCAGGACCTCCGTCTGACCGTCTGTTTGAGGGTGATAAGTGGTACTGTATTTCAACTTCGTGCTTGCCAAACGAAACATATCATACCATACTTCACTAAGAAAAATTATGTCTCTGTCTGAGACAATGGTTTTAGGGAAACCATGGAGTCGCACTACCTCGGCGATGAACTATTGAGCAACATCAATGGCCTTAAAAGGATGTTTGAGACCAATGAAATGAGCAGTTTTGCTAAAGGCGATCAACTACCACCAAGATCACATTAACACTGCCAGAAGTAGGGAGTCCATAAATAAATCAAGGGAAATGTCTTCCCAAATGGCAGTGGGAATGGGTAAAGGCTGCAGGAGACCAACATGTGACAAGGTTGAGTATTTGTGGA